CTTCTAAAAGGCTTTTATTTATTATCATGGGATGTTAGTTCAGAAGTGGGGCAAGGACGGCTGTCACAGAGGACTGAATCTAACCCAAGATAAAAGTAATTAGCCTCTGAACCTGTGAAATTCCAATCTCTCCACAGTACTGAAATTCCAATTGGTCCATCAAGGTCTGCAGACACTAAGCTCCTTCCAGAAGTGTTTTGTTCCCAGCCAGCCACAGCTCCTTTCCAGAGATTCTCGTTCACAATGCCTGCTGCAGTAAAGGAGTTCAGCTCAGAAGGAAACAAGGTCCCCCTGCCACCAAAGGGGTCTTACACTCCTCAGTCTTGTCACCTGTAAGCCTAAGGCAATTTTGTTCATTGCAGGAAACTTTCTCCTATCAATGATCTCTCAGCCCATGACTCTCAGGGGAGGAGCGGCAGGGACCACCGGTTCCAATCCTGTTGGGGTTAGAAAAGAGCAATTCCTTATGCTTACATCAGCCCTTTCTAATTTATAAGGCATGGAGCTCCCTGCATAGACAGCTAAAATGAAGACATGCAGGTCACAAATTCGGTGTGAGATGAATCAAACTTTTCATTGATTGAAATCAGACTATCTCGCAGAGTCTGTGAGAAGCGAGACATTCACACACACACACACACACACACACACACACATCTCTCATGAAGCTCACAGGGCCTCAGCGAGCTCACTCTCCACACTTGCCCAAGCCACTGTGCTTTCCAACACAGTACTTGAGCCACCTTCTCCAAACTGAAATCCACCCCTGCCCCTCTGACTTCTCACATTCACCCCACAGAGAGCAAAATCCATCCCTCTGTGTGAAAGCCACCCCAGTAAAGAGGTGACCCCCAGATGACGCGTATGCTTAGTCTCCCCAGGTCCCACAGATAGTCAGCGTGCTTCGTGGACAATGAGGCTCTCACTACTTAGCGGCTGTCCTCCCCAGGTCAAGTCAAACCCATTCGGATCAAGACCTTCCTCTGCCAGCCTCCACATGCCTCCCTCCAGGATTGGCATCCCCATGTGTAAGCTCCTGTGAGCACCAAAAACAGAGATACAGTAGCCCCTGTATGTAATCAACCACTGTCGCATCCAAACTCTGAACAAGGAAGGGCGACTGTACTTAGCAATGTGCTAAGTACCTTTTAGTGCCTCCTCGGGATCTCTCAGACTGTCACAGCAACTGTTAATTTGTCCCACCGCCCCCACGGCACTGCTGCCAGTGGACTCTGCACAGATGCTCTGGAAAATGTTTTGGTTTACATCTTGGTTGTTGGAGGTTTACATCATTCAGACAGCAGCCTCCAAGGAAAGAACTGAGCTAGGAATTGCCCTGAGTTGAGTGGGAGGAGGTTCCTGAGCCCTGTGGGATCTACTTTCGAGCCCCAGTGCCCATGCTAGACAGTAGAGCAACGGGAAGCCCATCCCACTCAAGTCTCCATAACTTAAAACTACATTTATGTATCTGTTTCCTTACCTAAGGACAGCCTCTTAGAAGCAAGGCTAGAAATGGGATGGGGTTTGTAAGCTATTCCTGAACCTTAATCCTCACATAAGAATTGACCGACTTAAAGCTCTACACACAGACAACCTCTGTGCACAAGTCAGTAAATGGCGGCCCAGGCTCAGTTACCTTAGACAGACACAGCCTGAGAAAGACTTGTGAAGCAGACACAGTCAACTGTATCTCTTCATTAGTATGTCTCAGTGAAGGAGGGAGGGAGAAAGAGAGAAAGGAATTTACTGTTACTGAATGAAAAAATAAATAAAAAGGAAGGACATGACTTCTGGGTACAGTGGAGGAGAAAGTTTATTGTAGATAAAAAGGAGAATATAGGCAGAGGCAGGGATATCTGGGAGAGTCCAAGTGGACATGACCAGACTGAGCCGGGCCTTGTAGAGAGAGAGGAGAGAGAGGAACCAGGAACAGCAGCCAGGAGTCCAAAGGTCCAAAATGTGGCAGGTAACCAAAATGTCTGGATCATATAGGGAAGAGGCTCTGGGAGAAGAGCAGCTCAGCCCCTGGGCTGGAGAGTTAGGGGTATACCAGAGGGCAGGGTATGCTAGTCATACCCTGTAATAGGTGGAGACTGAGGGATGCTGGGAGAACCTGGAGACCAGGCCCTCTTTGATGTGTTAAATAGGCACCTTAGTCATGTGTCCCTGGTTTGAGATTAACAGCTATTTATTGAACCCTCTTACATGTGCCAATTGATAGAACAAGTATGCCTCAGGGCTTTTTTAATCTCAGTAAAATAAATAAATGATTAATAAATTAAGTCATTAAAATTTCCTTTGTTTTCTTGACTGGCATCTCACTATACAGCCCAGGCTGGCCTGGAACTCACGATGCTCCTATCTCAGCTGTGTACCACCACACCCAACTAAATGAGGTTGCCTTAATAAGCTAATAAATATCCACTGTACGTGGGCTGAGTCATGTTGGATATGATAGGAAGCATTAGTCCTTACAGCAAATGTTATTGCATCTTACCAAGAAACCACCACTAACCCAGGTCAGAGTGGGACATGTGTGGTAGACAGTAAGTATTGAGGTCAGGCTTGCTCTTTACAAAATTTCATGTATTTAAAAAGAAAAGGCAATTGTGGTAGACCATGCTTATATCCCTAGCAGTTGAGAGGGTACTAGAGGCAGAAGGATCTGGAATTCAAGGATATCCTCCACTACAAGAGTGGCTAGACTAGGCTATATGAAGCCCTGTTTGAAGGAACAAAGTCAATTTATTATGTAAAAATATGAAAATGTATACTGTAGATATAAATATAGAAAATAAATTGATTGTATATTGGTCACCTTGTTATAATTATAATATTAATTTTTTTATTAGAAGCTCTAAGTTTAGGTATTGGGAATAAAAGATAAAAATATAAAAAATGAAGATTAAATAGAAATACTTAAATGTTCAGAAGTGTACAAAACCAGAATACCATGGCTTTTTTGAGGGGGGGTGTTCTTTTTTGGGTTTTGTTTTGTTGAGATAGGGTTTCTCTGTAGCTTTTGGAGCCTATCCTGAAACTAGCTCTTGTAGACCAGGCTGGCCTCGAACTCACAGAGATCCACCTGCCTCTGCCTCCTGAGTGCTGGGATTAAAGGCATGCGCCACCACCACCCAGTTATCATAGCATTTTTAATGCCATCACTGATTAGAAGAGAAAAAATACATCTAGAAGTAACTTAAAGAAGAAACTGGTTTTCTGTTTATGTGCCCTGATCACGGTCTCTCATTGAGAGAAGTCAGAGCAGGAAGTCAAGAAGTAGAGACAGGAACCATGGAGGGAGGCTGCCCACTGTCTTGCCTTGCTCCCCATTGAGAATGAGGATAAACAAACAAAAGTCATAAGTTTCCTGCTTCTATGTCCTTCTATGTGGGCAGTGCAGCCCAGAATTTAGGTAGGTCTGATAAAGAAAATCCTTCACAGTGGTGCCCATCTCCTGGCATTAGTTGATTCTAGATGTAGTCAAGCTGACAGCTGTCATATTCATGTAGCCTGTATAATTCACAGGCAATAGTGGATGGTTTCTTCTAAGTGAGCAATAGCACAGAGTCAACACATCTCCCATTTTCATCTTACAAAGTCTAGAAAACTACATATTTAGTCCAAGGATCATGCTGAAGCACCTGCTATTAGTACCTAGTTTTCATTGGTCAGTTGTCAGCCAATAAATGCCCCTGTCAAGGTCCAGGGTTAAAGCCCTTCACATCCTGTCCCACTGCACCTTCTGTTGCTGGGCTAGAGTGACTTGGGGAGGTAAGATCTTATTTCATTTTATAGCTCAAAATCCCTCTGAGGGAAGCCAAGGCAGTTAACTCCAGCAGGACAGGAAACTATGGAGGAATGCAATTTATTGCTTGCTTCTAGGCTCATATTCAGCTATTTTTCTTATTGTAGCCCAGGTACACCTACCTAGGTGTTGGAGGAAAGCCACTAGTTAGTTCCCAACTGCACAACCCTGAAATAATCACACAGAAACTGTATTATTTAAAACACTGCTTGGCCCATTAGCTCTAGCTTCTTATTTGCTAACTCTTACATCTTAGTTTAACCCATCTCCATTAATCTGTGCATCACCACGAGGTTGTGGCCTACTAGCAAAGTTTCAGCATGTCTGTCTCCAGCAGCAGCTCCGTGGCTTCTCCCTGACTCTGCCTCCTTTCTCCCAGCATTCGGTTTAGTTTTACCCACCTACCTAAATTCTGCCATATCAACAGGCCAAGGCAGTTTCTTTATTCACCAATGATATTCATAGCATACAGAGGGGAATCCCACATCACCTAGGGATGGTACCACCCCCAGTGGGCTGAACAGTCCTATGGCAATTAGTAATCAGGAAAATGTGTCCACAGGCATGCCCACTTCCAATCTAATGAGGAAAATTCTTCAGCTGAGATTTCCTCCTCCCAGATGTGTCAGGTTGGCAGATAGTTGGTCAGAAAAGTAGAAGCAAATTGGTGTACTGCCTCCTGATTTTTAGGCCTGCTTCTATCCTTCCTCCCCAAACGCTATGTATTGAGCAGAGGAGTGACCTGAGCTGACGTATCTCAATGGGACTATACTCAACCAGCAGACAGAATGGCACCCACTGAAATTCTCAATGGCAAGTTCATTTATCCTATTAAGAGGCATTCCATCACCGGTATTTTGAACTTTGGGATTCCAACATAGACTGAAGGCCAGCAGCTCTCTAGAACTCATGCAGAACTCCAGTACCAGATTTGGGCTGCGGAGACATCCAGTTTCTCAGACTGATGGTCACCTGATTTTTTTTTTTTTTTTTTTTTTTTTTTTAGTGACGATGAGAACTTTATTGCAAGGGTATTACCAGTGATGACACTGAGGAAAAGCAAGAACATGAATCTAGCTTTGCATTTTCTGCCAAGAGCTTGTAAAAGTTATCTCAAAGAAACCTAATCAGGAGATCTAAGAAATTTTATCAGATAAAAATTTCCAGATTTCAACAAATGTTTAGGTGACAATTAAAGAGCGAAACTTTCATCAAGGTACTTTTATATAATCAAGCCATATGGTACTACTCCAAGACATTCAGATACTCCAAGGGCAACGTAAGTTTAATGCAACATCAAAGTTGAACCAACAAGTTATCCTATGTGAGACTGGGGGACCTCTGCTTCCACGCTTAAAAAGAGTGGGAAATTTTTCAAAGGGGAAGAGATGTGGAACTCTTCTTAAATAGAGCGTAGCTGGATTTTCCACTTATGGGAGAGATGAGGTAGGGTCTAAAAAGATGAGAAATGACTTTTTTTTTTTTTTTACCACAAGATCTTCCAGAGATGTGCCATCACTGATAACAAGGTCATTAAACTGGTCTTGGATTTGGTCCATAGTTTGTGGGAGATCTCGAGCTGGAATAAACCATTCATGTTCTTCTTCCTCTTCCAACATTTCTTGGAAACAGCGTTCAATAAATTCTTCTTCCCACAACTCCTCTTCTATTTGTCTGTTGAATTCCTCTTCGTTTTCCATCCACATGTACTCTGCAAATGGATTATCATCTTCATGAGAATGACCGTTAATAATCACATCTTCATTGATGATGCTTGGGCTAGTACTGCTGCGACTTGGATCTTTCATGGTTGGTGTTTGTTGTCGTTTTTAACCCAGTGCACGGCAGCGGGGACGGCAGCCAACGAATCCTGTCGGCCTCCGCGGATCTCCACAGGCAGCGCCGCTCCCCCGCTCGACGTGAGCTTCGCCCCGGTCACCTGATTCTTTCTGTCAGAAGACGGCCATTGTTGGATTACCCAGGCCACAGCCCGTAAGCTACTCTAATAAATCCACTTTTGATGTACATATATATTCAATCTATCTGTTCTGTTCCTCTAGAGAACCCTGACTAATACAGACTGTGGTACCAGAGGTGGGGTACTGTGACGGACCTGACCTTGTGATCTTAGGAGGATTGTGGTAGCATTTGGACTTTGGGCTAGAAGAGCCAGTGAGTGCTCAGAGCTCAGGGGGCTGTTCTGTGGGAGCATTCAAGATTAGAATGTTGAGAGCAGTGCAGACAGTGGAGGCCCAGCGAGTGACCTTTCTTTCAGAGAGGCGTCTGAGAGTTCCTTAGAGACTCTTTCAAGACCATTCGGTGTTTTGAATTAAGAATATGTGGTTCTGATTAGCTGGGACTGAAGATCAGCTGTGACTAACAAGCAGTGACCAAATTCACTACAGTGAAATCTTTGGTTTGCTGGGAAAATTGATACTAGATATCTGGGGCTGAAACTATGATGAAGAAGCAGACAGCATTATCGAAAGAAAATCTGCTGGAAAGGGCTTCCTCGGAGTCAGAACACAGAAGCTGGGTTCCAGGGCTGCCCAAGGTTATGCCTTATGCTGGCACCAAACTTAGTAATGTAAAAGAGTCTCCCAGGTGACAGTGGTTCTGAAGGGATAAAGGGGTCATGAAGAGAAGCTGGGACCTGGCACTGTGAGAGGCCAGGAGAGGCCATTAGTCAAGGTGCAGCCTTAGTGGCAGTTGAAGCCCAGGAATTGAAGGGGTCATAGAGAGAAGTTGAGTCTTGGCACCATGTGGCAGAGTCAGAGTCCCTGATGAGAGCCCTGGAGAGCCTAAAGGTGAAAGCGCAACCCAGCTGTAGCAGGAAACACAGCATTTTGGAGCACAATGACCAAAGCACAGCAGTAGCTGTGCAGTGGAGCCTGCCCGAGCCTAAGAGATGGAGAACTGACCCAGGCCTTCTGAAGCCCAGAAGATCATGAATTGAATCCCAGATGTCAAGCACTGGAAATTTTATACTGTTAAACTCAGATTCAAACCTAGACCCACAAAAACTACCTAATCTCTTTGGTTCATTGTTTGTAAGTTGGGAAAAATAATGTGTCCCAAAGATACTATAGAATTGAAACGTAAGTGATTTGACTCTGTGCTTTACAAGTGGCATACACTATATGATGTTTTAATATTAATTATAATAATTGTCATTATCATCAGACATGGTAGGCTTTCTGTCTTAAAAATTCATCTCAAAGACTGAGAGCAGGTGAAACAAACTCATGAGCCAAAAGAGGCGAAATGGGGGCAAGAGAGTGGGAAATTTTACTTTGAGTGACATTTGTAAATGTTCTGGTTATTGATCCCTCCCTCCAACTCCTGCTTGGGATACTGGAAAAGAAGATAATCTTTAAAAATTGTACCTAATAAACTTAAAGCAAAGTCAAAGGAGAAACGACTTTATGTTTGTGGAGGACATGGATAATTCATTAAACAAGCAAATGTGATGAAAACCTCTACAAACAACCATGACCCCAAATCTAGATGCAATTAGCTTGTTTGTTTGGTTTTGGTTTGTTTTTTCAAGACTGGGTTTCTCTGTGTAGCCCTGGGTATCCTGGAACTCACTCTGTAGACCAGGCTGGCCTCAAACTCACTCTGTAGACCAGGCTGTACTGGAACTCACTCTGTAGACCAGGCTGTCCTCAAACTCACTCTGTAGACCAGGCTGGCCTCAAACTCACTGAGATCTACCTACCTCTGCCTCCTGAGTGCTGGGATTAAAGGTGTGAGTCACCACTGCCTGGCTAGATGCAATGAGGGTTTTTTGTTTGTTTGTTTGTTTGTTTTTTAATAAATCCTATCACAAAATTCAGAACCTCTGGGAGAAACTTTTTAAAAACTAAGAAAAAGCAACAGACAGAGGATGAGCTCTGAAAGGACACTGGCAGCAGAGAGCCCAGGAAAGGGTGGGGCTTCACTGTGAGGAGAAACTTCTGATTGGTAGTGATTACCCAGTGCCATGCATTCTCTTGTAGCAATACAAATCAAACTGAGGCACTCACTTAGTAGTTCTGAGTTATTTACTAGGACACCTTAGGATTTCCTTTATGCAATTTCACACCATCTGCGGTCAGAATGCCTTACTTTTTCCTTTCTCATATGGATGCCCTCTTTTTAAGCTTCCCTAAATTTCCTGGCTATAGTCTACAATATGGGAAACCCTGTCTCGTTTATGACCTTGCAGAAAAAGCTTAAAATGTGCTATTACTCACCATTCACTGTGGTGTCCTCAGTCAGGAGGAGGAGATTTCCCTTCTTTCCTGGTCTGTGCAGTTGGCTGTTTGTTTTTATTACAACAGAATGTGGAAAGACTTTTCCTATGTCTTAGATGCTTTCTATCTGTTACCTTGTGTAACATGAAGGGCCTGCTTGTTTGTGTTCCTGTCCTGCCCGCCCAGCTGTTTAGTCCCAGAGAAAAATCATACACAGATCTCTGTAAGTTATAAAGCTGATTGGCCCATTAGCTCTAGCCTCTTACTGGCTAACTCTCACATCTTGATTAACCCATTTTTCTGATCTATGTTAGCCATGTGGCTCAATACCTTTTTCAGTGGGGCAGCTTACATCCTGCTGCTTCAGTGGTCTGGGCAGGAGTGGGAGGAATCAGCTTCCTCCTCCCCAGAATTCTCCTGCTCTCCTTGCATCATTTCCACTTCCTGTCTGTTTTTCCCGCCTATACCTCCTACCTGGCCAATCAGCATTTATTTAAAACATGATTGACAGAATACAGACAATTCTTTCACACCAACCTTGTGCAAATAACAAAACTTAGAACCTGGGGCTGGGGAGATGGCTCAGTCAGTAAAGTGCCTGCTGTGCAAGGGAGAGGCTATGAGTTCAATCCCGAGCATGCCCAGCATTGCCCACAAAAGCTGGACACGGAGGCATGTGCACCTATGATCCTAGAGCAGGGCAGGCAGACACAGAAGCATCCCTGCAGCTTGCTGGCCAGTCAATTTAGCTGGATCCGTGAGATTCCAGTTCAGTGAGATACCCTGTGTCGTAAGGTGAAGAGCTATTGAGGAAGACACCCACCATCAACCTCAGGCCTCCACACTCACATGAGCACTAACTTCTGATTCCATAGCACAACAGTTTGGTCTGTGTTTAGCTAACTTGTTCTGTTCCTAGTCTCTTTGGAGATCGGAGTTGACCAATGTGAGAGCGCCTCCCTCATGTGTCTGACAGTCGGTGCTTCCAGCTGAGTCTCGTTCTTTCCATGTAGTCTATGATCTGCAAATTTCTAGACCACACGTACAAGTCTTTGCTGGGGAATCTCGAAGCAGCGGTGCAGGAAAGTGAGAGCAGAAGGTACATTCCTCTTCCAACCTTGTTTGGAAACCACTGTCCTCCCGCATTTTATTGGCCAAAGCCAGAAGCAAGACTTGCTCGGTCCAGTCCAGTGGCATGGGAAGGGTGAGTTGATTCCATCTCCATATGGGAGGAATCCTTTATTTCTTCCACCTTCCTTTGCACTCCGCTTGCATTTAACAGCAGCGTCTTCTTAGATGGGAACCTGAAAGATCATTTTTCTCTGTGGTTTATATCTTTTTTCCTCAAGGAAGAGAAAGACCTTAAATAATTTTTGCTCTTAGAAAAGTAAGTAGAGAGATGTTCAAAACAGGGCAATGATAAAGGATAATTTACTGTTTGGAACTACTTCCCACAAACTCAACACACAAACAAAATCTGGAAAATTGTAAATAGAATTGTTTCTTCTGTTTTCTGTTTGAAGAACGGTATTTCTCCTAACTAATTACATTTACATGATTTGTTCATTAATTGTTTTGAAGCAGCTGGCCCATAACTAAATGGAAACAATGATAGTAATTTGCATATTCTTAAATTATAATTAAAGTTCCAGAAGCAAATTTGAGTCTTCGCAGCACGGAACAGTTATGTAATACTACGTATTCAGGAGCATGCTTGCAAGAGTGAACAATGCTAGCACTTGAAGCTTGTCCAGTTGTCTCGACTCTGAATGTTAATTAGGGAAGTCTTTAAGAAACACTGACATTAGAACAACAAAATGAAACAACGTTTGATAAGTAGTGCACATTCAGTTCCCATCTCTCCGAATTAAAGAGAAGGCCTTGGACCTACAAAAATTTCTTGTAAGAAATTTAAACGTCCAATTTTCATCAATATAAGGATGAAAGAAGCATGTTTGAAAGATTTCAGCATCTGAGTAGAGGTAACTAGGGCTCTCACACTCCAGGAAGCAGAGGAACAGTTCTCACACAACAGGAAGCTGTTGGTTGTCATGGCCTTACGAGTCTAATAACACAAGTGAGTTAGGGTGTGTGCTCATTTAAAACGGAGCCTGCTTGGTTTCTAGACATAACGAGGGCTGCCAGGTAACGAGCATTATCATGTGCTCTAGCCCATTATGTAAATTACATTATTTAATCCGCACGATGCCTCTGCAGGCTGGCGTTTAGTGTACAGACTGGACTGGGTGGCTTAAATGACAGGCTTGCTTCCTCACTGCACTGGAGACGGCAGTGTCCACGTGGTGAGGCCATGAGGGAGAGAGCTGTTATGCATCTCTCCCTAGCGTGTAGATGGACTCTCACCCGTGTCTTCACATTCTCTTCCCACTGCGCGTCTGTACCCAGAGTCTTCTTTTCACACCCGTTACATTGGCCCACCCTTGTGACCTCACCCTAACTTAATTTTCCCTTTAGAAGACTCCAGCTCTAGGGAGCTGCAGAGATGGTTCAGAAGTTCAGAGTACTGGCTGCTCTTGCAGACAACTAGGGTTCTGTTCTCAGCACCTACCTGGTGGCTATAACTGTCTATAATTCCTGCTCCAGGACATCCAATGCCCTCCTCTGACTTCCAAGAGTACCGCACATGCAAGCAAACACTCACACACACTTCTAAAAAATCCCATCTCTA